GGTCCAATGTGTCTTCATTAATTTTCTGTCTAGATGATCTGTCTAATGCTGAAAATGGGGTGTTAAAGTCCTCAACTATTATTGTGTTGGAGTCTGTCTCCCTTTAGATCTAATTTTGCTTTATCAGTGCTCCCTTGTTGGGTACATATATGTTTAGAATTATTATAGCCTGCTAAATTCATCCCTTTATCATTTTATAATGACCTTCTTTATCTCTTTTTAATGTTTTTGGACTTAAAGTTTGTTTTATCTAAGTATAGCTACTCCCTCTTATTCTGGCTTCTGTTTACATGGAATATTTTTTTTCCATTCCTTTACTTTCAATCTACATGTGTCTTTAATGTTGAGATGAGTTTCTTATAGGGAGCGTATAGTTGGGTCATGTTTTTGTTTTTATTCATTCAGCCAGTCTGTATCTTTTAAATTGAAAGTTTAATCCATTTACATTCAAGCTTATTATTGATATGTGAGGGCTTATGCCATCATTTTATTTATTGATATCTGGTCATTTTGTATATCCTTTGTTCTTTTCTTTATTGTTTACTTTATCCATTGTAGTTTCCTGGTTTTCTGTAGTGCTAACATTTGAGTCCCTTCTCTTTCTCATTTGTGTGTTTGCTCTACCAGTGGGTTTTATACTTTCGTGTGTTTTCATGATGGTAGATAGTGTCCTTTTGCTTCCAGGTGTTGGACTCCCTTAAGCATTTCTTATAGGGTCCAATCTAGTGGTGATGAATTTTGCTCAGATTTTTTGCTTGTGTGGGAAAGACTTTATTTCTCCTTCATTTATAAAGAATGATTTTGCTAAGTATAGTATTCTTGACTAACAGTTTTTTTCTTTCAGCACTTTGAATATATCATCCCATTCTCTCCTGGTTTGTAGTTTCTAATAAGAAATCCACTATTAATCTGATGGGGGTTCCCTTATAAGAGACTAGACACTTTTGCTGTTTTTAGAATTCTCTCTTTGACAGTTTGAGTATAATGTGCTGTGGAGAAGACCTTTTGAATTGTATCTGTTGGAGATCACTGAACTTCCTGTATCTGGATGTCTAAATCTCTTGTTAGACTTGGGAAGTTTTCAGGTATTATTTCGTTAAGTAGGTTTTTCTATCCCTTTTGTTTTCTCTTTGCCTTCTGGATCACTGAAAATTCAAACCATCACTTTATGATGTCCCATATGTCCCATAGGCTTTATTCATTCTTTTTTATTCTTCTTTATTTTTGTCTGACTGGGTTATTTCAAAAGACCTGTCTTAAAGTTCTGATATTCTTTCTCCTGCTTGATCTAGTCTATTATTGAAGCTTTCAACTGTATGTTGTATCTCATACAATGAATTCTTCTGTTCCAGCATTTCTGTTTGATTCTTTTTTTAATGATCTCTAACTCTTTGGTAAATTTCTCATTCATATCCTGAATTATTTTTCTGATTTCTTTGTACTGTTTTTCTAAGTTCTCTTGTATCTCACTGTGCTTATTTAATATCATTATTTTGAGTTCTTTGTCCAGGATTTCATAAGTTTCTTTTCCATTGGAATCTGCTGCTGGAGAATTATTGTGTTCCTTTGGAGGTGCCTTATTTCCTTGCTTTTTCATGTTTCTTGTGTCTTTATGCTGATATCTGTGCATCTGGTATAACATTTGCTTCTCTAATTTTCTGAATTTGCTTTTGTGGGGGAGGACTTTTTCCTAAAGATGTATATATGGTGGTGCTTGGATAGGGCATTTTGGCTTTGATTTGGGATGCATGCAATAGTGTAGTCTCCATATGATTTCTTTGGCTGTAAATATAGTGTCAGTAGTGTCTGTAATTTCCTCAGTGGTATAGGATGTGGTTGTTAGTGGAGGCTGTGGTGATATTTTGCTGGGGATGGGACATCAGGTGGTCCAGTCCTTTGGCCCCAGTGGTGGCAATGGCAGCCTGAACATGTCTCTCCTTGAGTTCAGGACAGCATATGCTGGCATCAGTGTTAGCAGGTCCCAGTGGGCTGCTTCTGGAGCCTCCAGGCAGCTTGCTTGGGTGCCAGCAGTGGCAGTGGTGGGTCAGGTGTGTGTGAATCATTGGGCCCCTGGGAAGCAGGCATCATATGGGTGATGGCAGTAGCAGTGGCAGGACAACCCTCTTACTCCCAAGCAGTCCATGCTGGTGTTGGTGATGGCTGCAATAGGCTGGGTGTAGTCGTCTTCAGACCTGCAGGTGGCACGTGCAGGTGGTTGCTAGCTGTGGTAGTAGCAGCAGGTTGGTGGGCTCATCTTCAAGCCCCTGGGAAGAGTGCTCTGGGGCCAATAGTGGTGGATGGGGAAGGGTGATGCCCAGGTCCCCCAGATGGCATGCTCAGACACTGGTGGGGGTGGCACCAGGCCAGCCAGGCCTGTTCTCAGGCCCTTCAATGGGACATGTGGGCACTGGCTGTGGTAGGCAGGGGCAGGATTTTCCCCAGGGCCCCAGTGGAATGCTTGGGTGGGGGCAGCAGTGGCTGCACTGTGACCCTACTCCTGGGGAGAGTGGGGTTGTTTTCAGTAGCAGTAGCTATAAACAGGCTTCTGGAGAGTGCACACTTCGGCCTCAGATGGCAGCAATAAGTGGGGCAGCCTTTCCTCGGAGCACTTTAAATGGCTGATGGCCCTGTTACTGGGGGCAACTGGGTTGCTGCCAATAGCTCGTTTTTCAGCCCTGGCAGCAGCAGACAGCAACAGCCAGCAGCACTGCCTTGCTACATGTGGGAGATGTCCACAGGGCTCCAGGGATGTGCAGATGCAGGGGCTTTTGGGCTATAGGGTAGGATCCAGTCTGCTTGGGGGCTGGGCTCTCAAAATCATGCCTTGCTGTAGCTGCTTAGGTCTCAGGGTATGTGTGGGATCTGGTGTGAACTCCCTTTCTGAAGCAATGCCATTGAGGGGTCTCCAGGCAGTTCCCTATGTTAGTCTCATGGCCCATGTGGGTTGAGGTGCTCTCCTGTGGCTAGGATTGTAGGAGTCCATTGTAGGAATATGAACTGTTGGGGGACACTCACTCACCCTTTCCTCCCAATGGGGAGCTTTTCGAGGCTCTCAGCCAATCCCAGCCCAGCAGACTACCTTGCTTCCTTCTCTTTCCTTGACTTAGGTGTTTCCTGTCACTTCTCTGTTGAATTCCAGCATTCTCTTAGGTAATCTATTTGAAGTGTGATTATCTACTTGGTATTTTGGTTCTTTTTTGTGATAGAAGCAAGTACCAGAGGCCTGTAGTCAGCCCCTCTGTTGTCAGGGTTTTTTTGTTTTGTTTTTGTTTTTTAGTACTTTGAATATATCAGTTCATTGCCTTCTGGCCTCCAAAGTTTCTGATGAGAAATATGCTGATAATCTTATTAAGGATCCTTTGTATGTGATGAGCTACTTTTCTCTTGCTGCTTTCAAGATTCTCTTTATCTTTTAACATTTTGATTATAATGTGTCTCTGTGTGAGTCTCTTTGGAGTTCATCCTACTGGTAGTGAGCTTCTTGGGTATTCATATTCATGTCTTTCATCAAAGTTGGAAATTTTTTTGGCCATTACTTCTTCAGATAATCACTCTGCCCTTTTGTCTCTCTGTCTTTGTAGGAGTCCCACAAGTGTCTTGGTTCACTTGATGGCGTCCCATGGGTCCCTTGGGGTCTGTTAACTTTTCTGCAATCTTTTTTTCCTTTCTTTTCCTCAAACTTGATAATTTCAGTTGTCTTATCTTCAAGTTTACTGATGCTTTCTTCTGCCTGCTCAAGTCAGCCTTTGAATTCTTCTAGTGAATTTTTTAGTTTCTATTGCACTTTTCAGCTCTAAAATTTCTTTTTGCATTCTTTTTATGTTTTCTCTTTATTGATATTTCCATTTTCTTCATATACCATTCCTTGTCTTTCTCCATTTCTTCTTTTAGTTCTTTCAGCATCTAAAATAGGTGTTTTTAAGTCTTTATTTGGTAGGTCTGCCATCTGTTCTTTCTCGTGGACAGTTTCTTTTTTGTTTTTGTATTGTTTTTCTTTTTTTAAATGGGCCATATTTTCTTTGTATGCCTTGTGATTTATTTTTATTGTTGTTAAACTGGACAATTGAATCTAGTGTGCTATCTCTGGAAATCAGATTCGTTCTTTTCCCCAGGGTTTGCCGTTTGTGTTTGTTTTGTTTTATTTTTGATTGTTGTAGGCTACCTCTATGCTGAATATCAGCCTGACGTGTAAACTTAAGGTCTTCTCTGGTCTTTTCTCAGGCTGCGCCTTTCCCTGTGTATGCATGGTAACTTTCTAATTTTCCCCTTTCCTACAGTTGCTTTTGAATGTCTTGGTCTTTAATGTCTGGCTCCTGAAAAGTGAAAAAGTGAAAAATGATGTGGAGGTGGGAGAGGAAGAAAAAAATTGCTGATATTTTAAATCCCTTGGAAGTTGCTTCGGCTGGGGGTGCGGAGGAGCTTGCAACAATGGTGGGGGTTGGGGAGTGCAAAAATGGCTGCCTGCCTCGGTGCCTGCACCTCCATGGTGAGAAGCAGCAGTCAGTGATTAGACCATAAATCCCCAACATGTGGAGGACAGCATGCTTATTGCTTGCCCTGGCTCCCGCAAGCTGTGTGCTCCAGGAACACATGCACAGCTGCCAGTTATGGGGCTGGCAGGTGGGGGATGGGTAGTAGCTGCTGAGCTAAGAGCTGAAATGGACCAAAATTAACTGTAATTTACTGTCCAAGCTTTCCCCTGGAAGTTGCAAGCCTTCAATAAACTCTAGAGTCCCAAAACAGTTACATTAGAAATTCTGCCAGTATGATTGTTGTCTAGTTTGGGAGATGGATTCCTTGTGCTTCCTACTCCACCATATTCCTATATTCCTCTCATCTTTCTTCCTAATCTTATATAAAGGCTTACAAATAAGAAGTGTTCCAGAAGTGCTTCACAAAGGAATGGCATCCTAGCCTTCAAACTGTCCAGGGTCCCCTGAGACAGCACCTTCCCCAGATCCATCTCCAGTGTCCTGGGCTAAATTGTCCCCCCCCCCCCCATCAAATTCATATGTCGAGGTCCTAACCCTCAGTACTTCAGAATGTGGCTGAATTTGGAGACAGTGTATCTAAAGAGGTAACTAAATTAAAATGAGACCGTTAGAGTGGGCTCTAATCCAATATGACTAGTCTCCTTATAAGGAAAGATCAGCACACAGATACACAGACCATGGGAGAACCTGGGGGGAAGATGGTCACCCACAAACCAAGAACAGAGGCCTTGGGGAAACCAATTCTGCTGACAACTTGACCTTGGATCTCTAGCTCCTAGAACTGTGAGAAAATGAATTTCTGTTGTTTAAGCGACCCAGTCTGTGGTATCTGTTATGACAGTCTCAGCAAAACAAAACACCCAGCCACTGTATTCTCTCCCATCATCAAAATGCTTCCCCTTCCTATTTGAAACCCTTCAATACTTTGCCAGGTCCCTACTTCCTTATTTGTGCCCCAGTGTCACAACTCCCTGCATGTCTGTGGTCCTTCTCCTGTGGGGGCTTTAAAAATACCTTACCATGGATTTCCATACCCTCAGCCCAGTGTTTTTCAATGTGTGTTCCAAGAGACGATGATTAGTGTTTCAGATAAAGGGGTTCGCAAGGTCATGGCCATCTAGGAGATGTGGTATTAATCCGGACTGATTAGGTTCTGCAGGACTCCGCAGAGCATTATGGATCTTGCAGAGGGGAAAGGGCATGAAGTGCTCTTCAAATTTATTTTTCATGGAGCCCTCTTTTCACTGAGCATCTCTTAAGACTGACAGTCCTCTAACCACACTAGCTAAATACATGACTCCTAATGATGGCAATTTTAGGAGGTGGTGACACAAGGTTGAGAAAGATTTGAGTGTGTGAGAGTAGTCAGGCCCCTCAGAGAACACCAGTGGGAAATTACCTAGGATCAGGCTATCGGAGCTGGAAGGGATTAGCTTGTCTAACCTGACAGAAGAGGAAACAGCCCTAGGACTCACCTTAGTGGCCTTTAGGAAAGCCCGTGCTGTGTGAAGCGTGAGGCTCCCAGCATCCTTCCAGTGAACGTTTTTCTTATGAGTGTGAGAGGTTCCCAGGCACCAGCCTTTCTCCTTCAGCCTGGGAACTCCTCAGCCAGCACGCTGCATGGGCTCGCTCCTGACACCAGATTTTGCTCAATCTTACCCAAAGCCCGAAAAGTCCAGTGACCAAATACTCAAGTCTAGTTTTTGTATTTGGCTGATCAGTTCATTGTAGTGTGACAGCAAAAGCCCAGGCTTTGGAACTGGGTTCAAACCCCAGCTCTATCACTTAGTAACTGTGAAAATAGACACTCTATGGCCTTCTTGTAAAATATGGAATATATCACACAAAGTGGTTGTGGTTGATTAAAAGGAATGGATGGATAGGATTCAGCATGGTGCATATACATATTAGGCCTCATTAAATATTCCAATTTTTTCTCTTAGAACTAGGGATGTAGTGTACATAGTTAGACTCAGACTATGACATCCCCAAGAGTAGGAACTGTCTCCTGCAATTTTCCCAGTGCAAATAATTTGCAGAGCTGCAATTCTCCCAGTGAGAAAGCAAGCTAAGCCATTAGTTTAGGGTATACAGACCTGCTATATTTTCATTTTCTTTCATTCTCTTTCAGGTTCTTTCCTTAGTCATTAGTTTTAAGGTGGTCTTCTATAGATAATGAGAATTGGAATGTGACCAGGAATCAAGACCAAGTCACTAGTTTTACTGGTCTGGAAGCAGTTTTAATGGAGATGGAAATGTTTACCAATTCAACACAGGTACCCCCAAAATACAAATCAAAATATCATCTTCAGCTGCATAGCAAATATGATTTAAGAATTTAACATCATTATTTGATCACAAGCATAAATATAAGTCACCATAAATAAATGTAAATTCATTGTACAAAAATCCCCAACAACTCTTAATACAAATATGGTACATTTGACGGTTTCTGAAACAGGTATTTTTAAACTTTTTAAAATCTAAGCTTTTTTTTTTTCCTGGTTCTTAGACACACAAAAAAATCAAAAGGTGGGGCTGGGGAGGCAGTAATACGAGGGAAGACAGAATATTAAATTTGTCTGGTGTTCATAAATAAGTGCTGCTGGCCAGCCAGGGAAATGAAATCTCTCTCCTGAAAGTGAAGACCTCAATTTACCCGGATCAAATCTCCTGAGGATAACGTGACTCTGCCCAGAGGGTCAAATTCAGGGTTATGAATGCAGGGTGGGAGGGGTGGGTGGTTGCAATAGCAATCTTATCAAACGGATGATCCAAATCTCCACAAAGCCATGGTCAAGGATTTGGGATGAATTCTTGGTCATCAGACAGAGCTACCTACTGTCCCCAGACAGCACCGAAGATCCGGGAGGCTCAGGAGCCTAGGGATTTTATGTGGGTTTTGGAGGCATGTTTTACTATGTAGTTCTGCCATGTGGAGTGACCTCTCTCTTTTGCCTCTGGGACACTTCTGTGGCCATCAAGAGGAAAAAAGAAATCAGAATAGGAAGTGGTAGCTCTGGACAGGAGGGTCTGCTAGCTTCCACTCTGAATTACCTTCCTGCGCTACAAACATTTCCTTTCATGGCTTAGAGGTAGCTCAAAGCCCAAGGTTAAGCAGAATGATTCCTTTATAGCAGTGGCTCTCAAACTTTGCTGCCCAACAGAGTAACTCAGACAGCTTGTGGAAAATGCAGATTTTCTGGCTCTACTCCTAGAGATTCAAATTAGGTTTGAGGTGGGGCCCAGGAATCTGCACTCAAATGTGCTCATCTCAGGATCTTACGTAAGTGGCCTTTGGGCCACATTTGGCCCCCCCATTTCTCACTGGAGGACGAGTGTATCACACAAACCTCTTGCTATGGACACTTCCTTTGCTCTTCCCATGGGGTTAAAAATGGGATCATCTGATTAAAGGTAACCATTTCATCATTGTTCTTTCCATTTTCTCTTTTCTCTTCCCCCCCTGGGCTGGAGGAGACATGTCAAATATCACACTTTATACGTTCTTAAAAGCTCAGTGCTGCAGACTCCCTTTGAAGATGTGCTCTCTCTGTAACAAGACATTTATATCCCAAAGGCCTCTGTCCTTCTCAATGGTCTCCCCATACTTGGCAGAAGATTCCGCAGAGGAATTTTAGCTTAGTCGGGAAAATGGAAGTAAATATACCCCTGTGAGAGCATATATACCCCAAAGTCTAACTTAAGGAACGTTGAGAACAGGAAGTTGAGAGCAAAGGATGAAATGTTCCAAGACCCTTTCAGCATCTAGGACAATGAAAGTTCTGATTCACTAAAACAGGACTCCCCTTTGGGGTTTATCTTGGTATTAAAAGCTCATTGACAAGTATTATTTTTATTTCTTACCTACCTGTCCCCAAGATGTTTTTGGCCTCTGTTGTACAAACCCCTTAAAAACCCTTCTCATGGGAGTTTTCCTTGATGAGAGATTCTGTGCCAGGAAGTGGTCCCTCATTTGGTCGCTGGCTAATGCTGTGGGCAGTGCCGTGACTGACTGGTTCAAAGCTGCGTCTCCTGTGTCCACGGTGCTAAGCACTTGTGTAAGGAATAAAAGAACTGTCTCATCATTAGGCTGCTGCGATGGCCTAAAAGTGTTCTGTTTTAGGCTGTGGAATCCTGGTTGTGTTCATACACCCTGCTTCCCCGCCAGGTTTGACCATGCTCCTATCCTAACTCCACTCGGTGGGATACAGCTATGAAAGCTTTTCCGACTTCTTTCTTGGACTGCCCTGGGGGGTGGTGGTTAGGATGGGGTTTTGGGGAGCCTACACGTGGAATCCCTAGGACCCACTGCAGAAGGAGATGCCACCTGGGGCCCTGGAGGGGAGCCAGGGGAGACGAAGCAGCAGTAGGCTGACACATGCCCTCTGGGCCAGGCTGACATCTCAGTCTCTGAGCCTTCAGTCCTGGGGTCGCACACGGGCACTGGGCAGGAGGTCGCCATCTTGGGAGGAGTTCTGGGGAAGCAACCACAGATGGGTGGAACTATGGGATGGAGAAAGGGTGAAACTAGGAGCTCTTAATACAGCTGAGGGGAGAAAAGAAAAAAAAGCACACACTGCCCTGTTTTCTTTTTTTTTTTTCATTTATGCTATGGACAAACCACCATGGAGATGTCAATGGGAGAGCATGCACAGGCCCCGCCCTTGGGAATGGTGCAGATGTGTTTGGGGAGGTGCTTGTTTGCTTCCGGGTCCATCCCACACGCTGTCCGGTCGGATCCTGTGGCAGGCTGGCTGTGGCTTTCTCTCCCCTGCTCCTCCTCCTTTTCCTCCTCCTGCTGGTCAAGGGTCTGCAGGACCTTCTGCCTAGCAGGTGGTGGCCAAGGACTGGTGGATGGGTGGCTGGAAGCAGCGCACATGCTCCACGGTGGAACTGTCTGTCTCCACGGACTTCATGTACTTGTTCAGGATGGCAAAAACCTCATTGTTCAAGATCTGGTACTTCCTGATCCGGTCGGCCATCTTCTTCAGGGGCTGCAGAAGGACGGGGATGTTCAGGTTAGGGAAGCAGGGGGTGGAAAGAGGGAGGACGAGAGAAGAAGTCAGTGAAGTTGGGGTCCAGGGTCTGGAAGCTTTTAATGATCATGTCACTCTCTTGCTGAAAGGCCTTCTGTGGCTTCCCAGAACTCTTGCAATCAAACGTTAACTGGACCATAAAAACCCTCTGCAAGTTTGAAAACTTACTACAGAGCTACAGTAATCAAAACAGTGAGGCACTGGTATAAAGACAGACATACAGACCAATGGAATAGAATAGAGAGCCCAGAAATACACCATGATATGTATGTATATCAAATGATTTTCCACAAGGCTGCCAAGACCATTCAATGGGGAAAAAGAGTCTTCTCAACAAATGGTGCTAGGAAAATGGATATCCACGTGCATATAAAGTTGGACCCTAACCTTATACCAGATACAAAAAATTAACTCAGAATGGATCAAAGACCTAAATGTAAGAGTTAAAACTATAAAATTATTAGAAGAAAACAGGGAAAAATTTTTAGAACATTGGATTTGGCAATGATATCTTGGATGTGACACCAAAAGCACAGGCAAGAAAGAATACATTGGATTACATCAAAACTGAACACTCCTGGGCTTCAAAGGACACTATCAACAGAATGAAAAGGCAACCCACGGAACAGGAGAAAATAAATCATATCTGATAAGGCATTAATATGCAGAATAAAAAGTCAACAAAAATAACCCAATTAAAATAATGAACAAATGACTTGAATAGACAGTCCTCCAAAGAAGATGTACAAATGGCCAAGAACACATGATATGACACTCAACCATAACAATCATTAGGGAAATGGAAATCAAAACCCCAATAACACTTCACACCCATCAGGATGGCTATTATAAAAAACAGAAAACAACAAGTGCTGATGAGGATGTGGATTGGAACACTTATGCACTGCTACTGGGAATGTACAATTGTGCAGCTGCTGTGATAGAGTATGGCAGTTCCTCAAAAAATCAAACACAGACTTGCCATAGGATCCAGCAATTTCACTTCTGGATATATACTCAGAAAACTTGAAAGCAGGAATTCGAAGAGTTGTTTGTACACCCATGTTTCACAATAGCCAGAATTCACCATTTTCCACAATATCAAGAAGGTGGAAACAACACAAGCATCCACTGATGGATGAACAGATAGATAAAACGTGGGGTATGTACATGATGGAATATTATACAGCCATAAAAGGGATGGAAATTCGGACCCAGGTTATGTGGATGAACCTTGAGGATATTATGCTAAGTGAAATAAGTCACTCACAAACAAACAAATGCTGTATGATTCCACTTACATGAGGCAATTAGAATAGTCAAATTCACAGAGACAGAAAGTAGAATGGTGTTGCCAGGGGCTGGGGAAGGTAAGAGTGCAGAGTTATTTTTTAATGGGAACAGAGATTCAGCTGCGGAAAAGGAAAATATTCTGGAGATGGATGATGGTGATGGCTGTACAACATTAGGAGTGTACTGGATGCCACTGAACTGTATGCTTAACGTTTTATGTATACCTCTGTGCCTTTGCTGCGGCCGTTCCCTGTGTCTGGAACATTCTAGAAAGCCCCACACTCCAGTTCTGCCTGGCTCTTGCCTGCTGGCCATGCAGGACTCAGCCCAAGCACCGTCCTTCGTGGGAAGCCTTCTCTGCCACTCGCTCCCTGCCCCACAGCCTGGTTCTGAGAGTGCTTCTCTCCCCCTCCCACAGCAGCCCCGCTCACCCCACACCAGCACCCATCCCATCCCAGAGCCCAGCACAGCGATAGTGTTCAGTGAACGTCTGCACAGGTGAGGAACCAGTGCCAGCAGAGTCTGGCTGGGCCAGGGAAGCTGCATTTCAGGGCTAGAGCCCAGCCCTGCCCTCTGGGGTGACCTGATTCATGGCAGTAGGTTACAAGCAAGTGATTCACAGCTTCCTCCAAGCAGGTACCTGGACTCTGAATGTCTTTGTACCAACCTGCGGTGTGGGGAGTTGGCCTCCGTGAGCAGCACACCCTCCCCTTCCTTTCTGGTGAAAGCCTGGCTGTAGGCCCGGCCCCACCGCCCAGTCCCAGCCACCAGCCTGCTGCTTACCACGTTCTTTATGATCTCATCCTTCCCGTCCTGCCTCTGCACCTTCAGCAGGTGGTAACAGAAGTCGAACAGGTCGAAGCGACGCTGCTGGCCCAGCAGGACAATGATGGAGCAGCCAGCCCAGTTCAAGCCATCGCCGAAACACTGCCTGGGAGTGGGGAGAAAAGGCAGGGGGGTGAGGGTCAGGGGTTGGGGTGGGGAAGGAGCCTCACCTGGGGCCAAAAGCACAGCCAGCAAGCAGGCCCATCTTGGGGCCAAGTCTCTTATTCTGTAAAATGGGTACAAGGGAAGCTGTGGTGGTAGATTCATTAGTTCCAGGGGCTGTGGTTATACTTTAAGCCCTTCCAACCACAAAGAGGTGTTGGCCTGTTTGCGTCACTGACGTAAGAAAAATCAGCTCTGAAGACAACACAAATTTGCAAGGAAAGACCCCAATGGGCCCTTGAGACTTATGTGGCTGATTACTTCAGGCAGATCAAAGGAGAATCTGTTTTGGCTCTGTAGAGAAGCCAGAGGGACAGCTGTGGGTTGAAGGGCCACTTCAAACCAGGGGGCCAACTGGCCAGAGGCTGAGAGGGAAGGCACAAGGCATGGCAGGCAGACAGTGCTGGGCTCGGGAGGCTGAGTCCTCCCGGCTCTGACGTAGCTCTGGCCGCAGCTCCCAAGCTGGAGACATGTGGGCAATTTGGATGGCAGTGGGGTCAGCCCTTGGCTGTCTCTCTTGTCCTCAAGCAGTATCCCCAGCCTGCACCGGGCAGCTGTCCCCACTGCTCCAACCTGTGCTGGAAGCATGTGGGCTCAGAGCTACCCTGAAACAGCCTCATACAGCATGCTTGGCTTCCCACCCCGTCCCAGCACCCCTTCATGGGGAAGGCTCCTTGGCCCCACACTCTTCTCGGCATTCTTGGCTTCTGGAGTGCAAGTCTTATCTACCTTCCCCATGCTGTCCTTGACATGTAGCCGGGTGAGTGCAGGAAGAACCATCCCTGCTGTTTTCTCTGGGACTCCTAGAGGATCCTCATTTTCCAGTAGAGTTTGGTGGGAGGTGAGGTAGGCAGTGAGGTTCTTACTGCCAGCCCCTCACTGGGCTCCATCCTGCCCATGCAGTCAGCCCAGCTTCTAGTCTTGGAAAGACGAGGCCTTGAGAGCTCTCACAGCCCCATGCTGCACCCTTGTGCACAAACTCTGTTTCTGCCTCAGCCATCTGCTGCCTTTCCTGGAATGTCGCCTTCTTCCTTCTGTTGATTTGAAGGCCGGGCATTGCTCAAGGCTCAGTTCTGGTCTGTGAATTAAAGCTGATAATCTCATCTCTCTCCTCTGGCATCTGCCACCCTGCCTACCCTTGCTGCCAACCAACCTCATTTGATGTCCCTTACGTCTATGTTTCTTGTCTCCCCCTTGGCCACGTGAGCTCTGTGAGGCCAAGGACTGCCTACTTTTGCTGAGCACCATTGAGTCTCCGGCACCCAGCACAGGGACCAACAAATTCAATTAACAGTTGTCGGCTGTGCCCTCTACCCACGTTTTTGGCTGAACTCTGGCAGCCTGGTGACAGAGGCACAAGCAGGTTGAGGTGACCCTGCCTTCCTGGGGGTACTCACTCAGCGGTGAATTCGTTGGTCCCCACGGGGATGCAGTAGACGAACTGCATGGCACTCCACAGCCGGTGGAACTCCACGCACTCATCCACGTGCATGACGCCGTTGGTGGGTGGTGGGCCCCGCCAGATGGGGTCCTGCAGGTAGCTCCGAATGCGGGTCAGGATGACCTCGAACATGGACAGGCCACAGCACAGCCTCTCCTTGGTCAGCAGGTCACCCTCCCGAGCGATGGCGATTTGCTGGAAATGGAAGGGTATGTGAACCTTCTATGCACATCTCGGACCCCATCTGCCACCTCCCACCAAGATGCCCAAATGCTGGATGCTGCACCTGGAATTCATTCATCAGAACTGATGTCTTGCTCAGAGCAGGGTACTTACTTTATAAACCTGAGTGCAACAGCAGGGAAGTCTCGTGGTAAGTCTTATTTGTGTTAAGTAAAATCCAGGAGCCATCAGTAGAGGAATGATTTTTAAAAAAATTATGATAGATTCAATGCGACCCCCATCAAAATACCAACATCATGTTTTGCAGATCTAGAAAAATTAATCGTAAGCTTCATTTGGAACCAAAAAAGAGCCCAAACAGCCAAAGCAATCTTAAGCAAAAAGAACAGATCTAGAGGCATCACATTGTCTGACTTCAAATTATACTACAAGGCTATAGTAACTAAAACAGCATGGTACTGTTATAAAAGTAGAGACATAGACCAATGGAACAGAATAGAGAACCCAGAAATAAAACCATCTACCTACAACCAACCGATCTGCACCAAAGCAGACAACATACTCTGGGGAAAGGATGCCCTATTCAATAAATGGTGCTGGGAAAACTGGAAAGCCATATGCAGAAGAATGAAATGGGACCCCTATCTCTTGCCATGTACAAAAATTAATTCAAGATGGATAAAAGACTTAAATGTAAGGCATGAAGCCATAAAAATTATAGAAGAAAATGTAGGAAAAACTCATCTAGACATTGGCCTAGGCAAAGAATTTATGACTAAGACCCCAAAGGCAAATATAGCAACAACAACAATAAATAAATGCAACCTAATTAAATTAAAAATGTTCTGCACAACAAAAGAAATAATCAACAGAATGAACAGACAACCTACAGAATGGGAGAAAATATTTGCAAACTATACATGTGATAAAGACTGATACCCATAATCTACAAAGAAATCAGCAAGAAAACAACTCCATCAAATAGTGGGCAAAAGACACAAACAGAACTTTTTGGAAAGAAGATAGACAAATGGCCAAAAAACATGAAAAAAAAATGCTCAACATCACTAATCATCAGGGAAATGCAAATTAAAACTATAATGAGATAGCACCTTATCCCTATCAGAATGGCCATAATTAAGATGTCAAAAAACAATAGACGATGGTGTGGATGCAGAAAGAAATTAATGCGTACACACTGTTGGTGGGACTGCAAATTAGTACAACCTCTATGGAAAACAGTATGGAGATTCCTCAAAGAAATAAATGCAGACCTACCATTGGATCCAGCAATCCCACTGCTGGCTATCTACCCAAAGGAAATGAAGTCAGTTTATCAAAAAGACACCTGCACTCGAATGTTTATCACAGCACAATTCATAATTGCGAAGATGTGGACTCAACGTAAGTGCCCTTCAATTCATGAATGGATAAAGAAAATGTGGTGTATATGTATATACACCATGGACTACTACTCAGCCATGAAAAGGAATAAAATAATATCATTTGCAGTAACTTGGATGGAACTGGAGACCATTATCCTAAGTGAAGTATCTCAGGAATGAAAAACCAAACACATGTTCTCACTAACAAGTGGGAGCTAAACATGGGCACACACAGGCACAAAGCAATAGGATGTGAGACACCAAGAAAGGGGAAGGTGGGGGTGTGGAATAAAGACTTACCCATTGGGTACAATGAACACTATTCTGGTGATGGGCACACCAAGAGCCCTGACTTAGGCATTATACAAGGTATTCACGTAACAAAAACACTTGACCTCCTTAATTTTTTGAAATAAAAAAGAAATAAATTACCATCTACCCTAGATCATAAAAAACAAAAAACCCACTAGGTTGCCGTTGAAAAGACTGAAGTGATGCTACCATCAGTGCTGCTGCTACTGCTGTAACTACTACTAGTTCATGCCACTGAGTGTAATAAACCAGGCCCCGTGCTAAACACTTGATAGGTATTAACTCCATTCAATCTCATGAGGTGTAGGTACCATTATTATCCCCATTTTACAGATGAAGAAACTGAGGTTCAGAAGGCAGCCAGTGAGTGGTAAAAGTGGGATTTGGTTCCCAGTAGTCTAGATCTATGGGTTAAATTGTAAAGTGAATAAGAAAAGGATATGTACTATAATCCTATTAAAAACCATCAACAACACACAATCCCACAGACAAAAGTATATGTGGGGTGTGTGTGTGTGTGTGTGTAGAAATCTTTTAGAAAGATTAACATCGGTTGTGGGAACAGATGGGCTTGGAGAAGTGAGTGGGATTTTCACTTTGTACTTTAAACACTTCTAATACAGTTGAATGTGTTACAATGAGCATATGTTAATCTTTCAAAATTTGCCACTGAGTTAACAGAATTATTTCCTCTAGCTAGAAGTCCTTCTTTGACAATAAGAAATGATCTCTATTAATTATGTAAACTGGCTTCTCATCTGGCTCCTGCAGATCTAATAATCAGCTGACTAAATGTCAAAACACATTACCGTATGTATGCATTATGAATAAAAGCATCTGCAAAGTAAGATAAATATTAAAGTCTAAGGTCAAAGTAACGTCTCGAAGTCTGAAGACAAAGCTCAAGGGGGCTGGCTTCTGAGCCTGAGGGATCCTCAGGACACCTGTGGGATCAGCTCCCTAGTTGGGAGGACTTCCCAGAGTGCCTTCTGCAGGTGGCTGGGAAGCACCTGCCCAACTTCACCCAAAAGCTCCCTCCCTGGAGGCCCCTGGGAAGAGGGCGACATCTAAGTGAATCGTAGAGGGGAATTAAGTCAGTAAACACCAATGTGGGAGCCTGTGACAAATGTGGGCCATGCATGGAGTTGTCACGACAACAATAAGCCAAAAAAAGTCTAGCAAAAAGATGAATTGGAGAAGAAGGGTTTGCCAATGTGTGTTTTAAACACAAAGGAGAGGGAACCCTGATTCATGGTGACTCATCTCGATCCCACTGGCAGAGCCAGCTGGCGAGCAGAGGAGATCACTCCAGTGGCCACAGCTAGCTAGAGTAGAGAGAGTTCTTTTAAAAAAAATCCCAAGCCTGTGCTCGTGTCTGTTCTTATTCTCTTTATTCCGATTCTGTTCTATCTGGCGGCCGAAAGGGCTCTGCACTTCAGAAAGAGAGTGTCTGCCGCGGGGGAGATACTCAGTAAATAAAGGGCCCCAGGTTGTTCTCCAGTCAGGAATATTCTCTCTTACAAATTGCTACAGAGTTCTGCTTTACTAATCAATCTACTGCGCATTTAGTTAGTTGGAATCAATCTTCAGGGCTGGAGAGTCCTGGCCGGGGAACTAGAAGAATTGGCAACTGAGTGTATAAATCTGCAGACAGACTTTGAACTCTGGTGACCCCACCCACCACAATCAACCCAAAGGGCCTTGGCTGGCATGGTTAGGGGCTTTGTTCCTTTCCTTAAAGAAGTGTTCACCCTCACAGATCTTTCTGTGAATTGCAAAAGTAATACTTGGTCATTGGGTAGAACTTGGAAAAAAAGTTTTTAAAGTTATAAGAAAATAAAAATATCCCACAAACCCCATTTCCCAGAGATGAGCATTCTTAAAATACTGATGTGTGATTTGTTTGTATTTACGTATACGTGTGTGTGTGCATCTGTATTAACAAAATTTGTATTGTATTATCTATATTGCTTTTTCTCTTAATGTATCAATAATTTAAAAACTCACTCCCATAAATATTTTCATGATTTTTAAAATGGCTACGTGATTTTTTTAAGGGCTACATAAAATGATGATACACAATGATGATACACAATGATTTACTTAGTCCTCTAGTTGGTTATTTTAAATTGTTTACAAATTTTCACTATTACCAAAAATTCTATGGCATCTATCCTTATACATAAAATTTTGTGAACCTATTTCTGATCATTTTATTAGGATAAATACTGAGTAACAGAGGGTCAATGAGTATAAATATTTTAAAAGGCTTTTGCTACATAGTGGCAAACCAGTCTCGGGGAAACACTGACCCTTGTCTGTCTACCTTTGTGATGCTTGCTCCTTGTGCCCTCATCAACCCTATTATTTTAAAAAAGTTCTTTAACACCTTAAGATAGGAAAAATTATACCTCATTCTTCGAACTTGCATTTCATTGATTACTAGTAAGGCTGAATACTTTTTCTATGTTTGTTGGCATTATATTTTTTATGTTGTGGGTTTTCTTTCATTCTATCTTTTTGTATGTCTAGCATTTTCTTTTTGCTTTGAAAAAGTGCTTTATAGATTGTTTACTGTAAATGCCCCCAGTTTGTGTGTGTGTGTGTGTGTGTGTGTGTTTAACATAGATTTTGTCCACTTCTTTTCTATTCCACTCAGTGGGGGAGTTTTTCTCTCTCCTTCTGCCACTCTTTTCTGAGTTAACAAGGGAACAGAGAAAAGGCTGGTGAAGCCACGCTGAAATCATGCCTGCAGGGGGTGCTCTGATTACATTTAGTATGCTTTGGAGGAAGATGATATCTTAATATTCCTTCTTTATATAATCCTTTGTTTTTTGGAATTTTTATGCTTATCTTATTTGTTCATCATAGCAATCAAGAAAGGTGGCTCAGGCCAGGCGCGGTGGCTCACATCTGTAATCCTAGCACTCTGGGAGGCCGAGGGGGGAGGATTGCTTGAGCTCAGGAGTTCGAGACCAGTCTGAGCAAGAGGAAGACCCCATCTCTACTATAAATAGAAAGAAATTAGCCAAACAACTAAAAATACAAAAAGTTAGCCAGGCATGGTGGCATGTGCCTGTAGTCCCAGCTACCTCGGAGGCCGAGGCGGGTGGATCGCTGAAGGTCAGTTCAAGACCACCCTGAGCAAGAGCGAGACCCCGTCTCTACTAAAAAATAGAAAGAAATGATCTGGACAACTAAAAATGTGTATATATAAAAATTAGCCGGGCATGGTGGCGCATGCCTGTAGTCCCAGCTACTCGGGAGGCTGAGGCAGGAGGACCGCTTGAAACCAGGAGTCTGAAGTTGCTGTGAGCTAGGATGACGCCACGGCACTCTAGCCCAGGCAACAGAGTGAAACTCTGTCTCAAAAAAAAAAAAAAGAAAGGTGGCTTAGTTAAGGAGGTAAAATAGCTCTTATCCCATTTCAAATATGGGAAAACAAAGACTGAGAAATTAAATGGCTTGTACTAGATAATTCAGGGGTGGATCTGGGACAAAGACCCCTGTCTTTTGACCCTGAGAGTTTTCCTTCCATGATGGTATGGGGCAACAAACCAGGTCACCTCAATTTGTCTCAGAAACAAATGCCAACAATGCAGTACTGCTCAAACTTCCTGGCTTTCAATCTGTTGCAGAGTTCCTCTGTCACTGAGCTGGATATTATATGATCACCCTGAGCCCTAGAGAGCTTGGAAGTTAGTATTTTGTTAACTTTTCTTTGGTCTATGGAATGACTAAGTTTTGGACTATTTCTCGAGGATGGGAGACTTATAAAACTGGCATTTCCTCTCTCACGGAATGTCTAGGCTTTTGGTTGTTAAATACTCAGCATTTGACAAATTGAGATTTCTATCAGTCCCAAGGAAGTGGCGTTCACCAGAACAGGGATGGAATTCACAGTCCTCTAAGTGGAAACACATGCCAAACCTTGGGCACGAGAGGCTGGATTCTTGTAGGATGACACCAGCAGTGGAGCAGACGTGTTTACATGTCACAGACTTGGGGGATTTCTCCCTAAAAGGAAATCATTTCAGAGGATCTCCTCTGTTCGGCCTCTGAAGGCCAAAAAAGAAAATGTGCATATTCTACAGTATCTGAGCTCTCTCTGCAGGTGAGTCAAAGAACCCAAACGCCACTTAGCTTTTAGTTACTGTCTACAGTTGGTGGTTGGTGGCATGCAGGGGGCCCGGCTAGGGTGGCTTCATCAGCATGACATCCGTGCAGAGGGGACTCTGCACTGTGCTCCAAATACTTGCCATGCTTTTCCAAAAGAGAAGCCGCCTTCTGGCCTCTGCTGAGGCCGTGGGTCCTTCTGCCCTTGGTGACAGCACCAGAGGGGACTGCTGGAATGTGAGTCCAAGAGCAGATTTCAATCCTAAATCTTTTCAACAGTCTCACTACGGTGCCGTGTTTCCCTTCTTCCTGAATTCTTCTCCTGCCCACCCCCAAAATGTGAAGCTTGCTTAAATCAACTGGAAAGGACATAGCACATACTTTTTGTTGCCCCTCTCTGTTCCCATTTCGGTTTCCTTCCTGCTCCCTGCATTCTGAAGGCAGGGGTCCTGTCTAACTCCAGCATTAACATATGAACTCATTCACCTTTCGAAATATGAGAACATTGCAGGCAAAGCTGAAGTTGTCTTTGATTCCCTCCCCCTCTACCCAATCTCTGTCCCCATCTCTCTTCAGAGGCTGCTACCTTGATAAACTACGTGTGTATCATTCCAGATATTTTCAGGAAAAGTTTTACTTAGGTTTTGTTATAAATATTTTTTCTAAAAAACCAAATGGCATCATTCTGTGTGAATTTCAGTGTAACTTGCTTTATCTACTCACCATGTGTTTACGATTGATCCACACCGATGTGCTTACACCTACTTTTTCCTTTTCATTATTATGTATTCAGTAAATGCTGAAGATGTAAATTCAGCATTTAGATGATTATACTACATTTTATTTAGTCAGTGCTTTACTGATAGATGTTTAGGTTGTTTCCAGTTTTTGCTTTAACAGTGTTACAGTAAAGCTTCTTGTGTTCCTGTGTTTCTTTAGCAAAACTATCCAGAACTGAACTGCTGGCTCACAGGGTGTGTGGAGAGAGAACGCAGCAGAATTATACCTGGCAGGGGGAGTAGTAGATACTCGTTTAAATGAGCGGCTGCTTTTTTGGCAGGGTATGTGACACAGGTGGACAAAAACACCCAGGCCTGGATTAGTAAACCTTATTCCAGACCTGTTCCTGCCACTAACCAGCTTTATAGTGTTGGACACTCTCTTTCCCACTCTGGGTCTCAGTTTCCCTACCTGTAAAATGAGGGGGTTGGGCCAAATGCTCTCCCACTAAACTTCCTTTTGATCCTTAGAGCCCATTATGCAAGTTCCGTACCTGAGGAGTCCCCAGCCGCTCTATCAGAGGGACCAGGTGCAGAGGGGCATACTTGGCTTCCAGGCGCTTCATTCGGACCTCCAGGCGTTCCCCCTCTGCAAAGGAGCAGCGGAGCAGAAAATGAGACTCGGGGCACCCGGTGACAAGGGAAGGTATAGCTCTCAGAGGACCTGATGATGGATGTGTGTTCCAAAACTTGCATGGAGCAGGCAGAACTGTTCTCCTTGGTTCTAGAAAGTGTGATGAGGACTCCCTACAAGCAAACATTTTCTAGGATCTCTGTCCAACAACAGAATTATCTACTTTGGAACTTATGAGTTTTCTATCACTCAAGGAATTCCTGTTTTCTTTTTTAAAATTTTTGTAGAATTAGGGGGTACAAATACAGTTTTGTTACGTGGATATAGCGCATAGTAGTACACTCAGGAATTTAAACCAATGCTAGATAGCAATATACTATGGATATTCTAGAAGGAACAAGGCCTGGAATGTCACTTCTAATTCTGTGATTCTGTGACTATTCAATAGGTGTCCAAAGCTCTAATCTCTTCCTTGCTGTGCAGATCTGAGTTGACTGGGTTGGGAAGTAACCATAAGAACGCAAGCTGGCTATCCAGCTGCTGCCAGTGGCTTCTTACCTTTGATGTAGACTCTGGGCAAGATGTTCTGGAAGGGTGCAGCATGCAGCAAATCACAGACTTCCTCCTGAGACTGCAGAGATGGACAGAAAGGAAGAGAAAACAATTTTCATTTTAAACCAGGAGGAATGTTCATTCCTAAAAACTTGAGCACTGGGGTTAGCCAGACCTGGATTCAAATCCTGGCTCTTCTCCTTATTAGCTGTGTTGACCTTGGATGAGTTACTCAGCTTTTTGGAGTCTATTTATTTATCTGCAAAATGAGGATGAGAACAGTACCTATTTTAATGGGTTGTTGTGAGGATTACATGAGAGAATGCATAACCTCATAGCACAGTCCCAGACACATGAGGAGAGCTCAGTGCCTTTTTACCATAATCTTATAAGGAATCTGTTGAAGAATTAGAATGAATAACAGAGCAATCACAGAGATGATGGGCCTCAGACCCTGTGTCTGTCTGGTCGGTTGTGGGGTCTGCAGGCTTGAGGCAGGCAGCTGGACCAATCTTCCAGTCCATTAATCCAGGACAACTCTGTGTAAAGGCCCATGTCTGATTGGCTTTTTCCACACCAGACATCAACTAGAGAAAGAGGGACTAGAACCTAGGCCAGATTGGTTCGGATGGTGACATGTTATGCACAAAGGTAGGCTTAAAAGCAAATATGCAATGGTTGGAGGGGAATGTTTGGTTAGGGTCAGACGGAAGATGTGGTCTCATGGGCTTACTGTCCTGGGACCAGCTCGTGATCACTGGATTTAAAAACAGAGGGGAAGGAAGGGGCCCGGAGAAGCCACCCTCCACAGGGGCTTGCTTTCTCTTAATTGTGGGCATCTGGATTAGGCAAGATCCAGGCTCCATTCAAATTGTGACACACTGGGATTCTAAGCATCTGAGAAAATCAGGACTGTGAGTACCTTTGGCTTCCTCCACCCCAGGTGTGGATGGAACACTGCCACCCTGAGAATCTGAACGGCTGGCTGCTCGGGAGGGGAACCCCCAAACTCCTGCTTTTTAACTGTAGATCAGTCTTTGAAATGAGGATATCAAAGGGAGAACACACTGGTCTGGTCCCTCCAGAGGAACCCACCGGATCTGACTGTAATTCTCAGTTTCTTAGCCAGAGGCGAAACTCCCCCTTCTTAATTGAGCTGCTTCTCTCCTTACCAGGAAATCATACAACCTAGTCTTCATTGCTGTGTCTAAGATTAGATCCTTTGATTTGTCATACAACCTGAAAACCTGGCTTATTGATCATTCAGTCTATTCTTTCATAATCACATTGTGAATTAGACTGATGGATTTTTTTTTTTTTTT